TACTCTACCAGGATCAGGAAACAGTCCTCCATAAAATGCGTTGCACACATCTAAATATATTTGGGTTGAACTGTTCTGGAACAGTGTTGTAAATACAACTTAACCACTGATTTCTAGTCGTGTCCTCTTTTGGAAGGCCAAACAAAGTAGTTTCGCTTTCACAACGAAACACACAGCGTCTTCACAACATGGCGGCAGTGGTGGCAGCAACAATAAAGTTACGCCTTCTTTCTTTGAACATTTGGGCGGCGTTATGCAAATCTTCCAACATAGTGACGTAGACATGTGGGGGCGTGTTAGAACGAGCCGTTTTAGGAGGGCGTGGACAAGTCTTAACTTTTATAAAGAATATCTCTTTGGGTTTAAGACTTTAGTCTTTGCAACTTTAGGGATCTTATCTATGCACGAACAGCTTGTAACACTCCAAAGAGAAAGGAAAACTTGAAATCGCATCATATGACCCCTTTAAGATATTTCTATGTAAAACTGTCTCCAGGGTTCAGAGAGGTTAGGATCACAAGTACTGTCTCCATTCAAACCCTTAATGCTGTAAACCACAGAGGGGAGAAACAAAATCCAGTCACCAAGAACTAACTGGCAATTCAATCCTCCGCCGGGCAACCGGATAAAAGCTCGGCATGGTCCTGCTACTGCTGAGATACCAGAAAACGTAAGGAAACGGAACTACAGACTAGAGAACCAAGACACCAAAAATCAGACAAACATCTGACACTCAGACAACAGAGGTAAAAGAAAGAAACATGAAAACGTCACACTCTACCAGTGCTGCAATCTATAACCAGTAAGAGCTGATCACTCTTTGCTAAATGACCAGGAGACATCTCAATATGGGCAACTGTAGGAATGGAAATCTCCTTAATATCTCTTTTTTTCCTCCTAGTAGTCATGAGTTTAAATGGTGAGATTAAATACAAACTGAGCCTTTTACCTCCTGCTTCTCAGATGTTTCGACAGAGAAATACCCCAGTCACATATCATCTATAGAGTCTCACAATAGATCTCAACACTGTCTCAAACTGTAATCAGATTTGCAGAGCCACTAAATCTGCAATTACTGTTTTACAGCAATGATGATGTTTGTTTTAATTTTATATTTATACATCTGGACACATTATGGCAATGAATAGCCTTCATTTTCTTTATAGAAATTGAATTTTATATTATACATCTGGTCAAGTAATTAATAATATTCATTTTCTTCATGCAAAATATAATTTTTGATTTTGGAGCAAAAATTCACCCATATACTGCCATATTACTGGGCTTTATCAAGACCAAGTGATCAAGTGAGATCTATGGGGATCACCATAACTCAGAAGCGGGGCCAGTGTGTGACTGGTAACACTCCAGGTGAACCTGCTGCATCACCATCTGTGCTCAAGGGAACACGAGAGTGTTTCTATTGTCCTTCTGCACAAAGAGCAGCGCTGCCTGCCAGCCTGGAGCCGGACGCAACACTTTTACTACACTGTACTCATGCAGCCCAAACAACATGCACAAGAAAGAGGCTGCTGTTTAATTGCTCAGGGAGTTCTCATTTAACTATCAACTTTGTCCTTCTGAACCTATAAATCTACATACAGCATATTGTCTTTTTCCTCTTAAGAAACATCTGAGACGCAGGATATTTAAGCCAAACCTCAATTTGATGCCATTGGAATGTCATTGTTGGAATCAATTGTTTAAAAAAAAAATAATAATAATAAATAAATAAAAATTAGGAACTTTTAGAGATCTTATTTGTCTTATCAAACTGCAATAATACAGTGTTCTTTTTGTCGCTATGCAATCACAACAAAAATTAAAATTCACAAAGCTGTTTGTTGTTTATTGTAAAGCTATTATTATGGTTTCCCCCCCTTTTTTTTTTTTTAAATAATATGAAAATGTTCTGATGTTGAAATGAGGGGTGATGCAATGTCATCCAGTTGATTCTAGCAATATCACAACCATTTCTCATTTAGTACAGGTTCTGTACGTGATTTCAGCCATTTTGATAACTCCAACCAATTTGCTATCACAATAAAAACTGTTAATCAAATTTATATTAAAAATATATTAAGAAGTGAATCGTTAACTGCAAGTGTCTATAATATAATATGTGAACCTGGACCACAAAACCAGTCTCAAGGGTCAATTTTTCAAAATTGAGATTTATACATAATCTGAAAGCTGAATAAATTATATTTCCATTGATGTATGGTTTGTTATGATAGGACCATATTTGGCCGAGATACAACTATTTGAAAATCTGGAATCTGAGAGTGCAAAAAAAATCTAAATATTGAGAAAATCACCTTTAAAGTTGTCCAAATGAAGTTCTTAGCAATGCACATTACTAATCAAAACTGAAATTTTGATATATTTATGGTAGGACATTTACAAAATATCTTCATGCAACATGATCTTTACATAATATCCTAATGATTTTTGGCATAAAAGAAAAATCGATAATTTTGGCCCATACAGTGTATTTTTGGCTATTGCTACAAATATACCCCAGCGATTTAAGACTGGTTTTGTGCTCCAGGGTCTCACATAAATATATGCACACATTTATATATAAATATATTTACATAAATAAACTAAAATATAATATACAAATGTTTGTAACATAAAACAAACGTTTATAGTAAAATACTGTATATTGTATTAAAATTGTTAAAATGTTGCTGTTAAAAATAGTTGTTTAAGTAAAAGACATATCAATTGTCATCAAAATGTCATTCTGTTATCCTTGAAAAATTGTCATGTGTTTTTACAGTGTAACTTAAACCACACACACTCTTTCCAAAAACCCATCCTTCAAAGTCATATAGAGCAACCGGACAGAGATTGTTTCTGACTGGCTTAAAAAAGGAGCCTATCTTACTACCTGTGAGATATTTCTGCTGCTCCAAAAAAAAAATAATAATAATAATAATTGATTTAATGGAGGTGTGCAATCATCACACTTTTGCAAAAGCTAAATATCAAAGCATAGTCAAGAAAAAAGGGTGCTGACCACTTTATCCTCCTGTTGCAATTCCACAGGGGAGGAAACGCAAGAGAGAAAGACAAGGGAAAAAAGAAGAGAGGAGAACAAGTGTGAGTGACATTCAGACACACATAAAGGGATGTTCACGAACTACTGCAACCAATCACATCGCCGCTTAAAAGCACCAAGACTGTGCTGGGAGAGAGACATCAAAAGGTTAGATAAGCAGTTTCTGGCCTGATACATCCATCGCCCCGGGCCAACAGGCGATGTGGTAAAAACAGAGGGAGCATTGCCCTCTTGTGGTCATCGCATTACCCCCTCAACCCTCAGCGGCCAGCAGCAGGAAATAACACAAGATCAAATGCGTTACAATGAGTTGAATGATTTCTGTATGAAATTACATGACAAAAAAGGCCCTGCATTAATAAGTTCAACTACTTAAATAATAAAACATGGCTTTTAGCATCTATAAACATCTCACACTGTCACAGTTCTCAAAATCATCTCTTTCATTATGAGCTGTAAATATTGAATATGCTCAGAATGGCGTATTACACTATTTTTTTTTGCCGTAAGTACAGTATAGTGATATCAAGTGCAAGTGATATCAAATGCAATTTCTAATATCTATTATGAGCTGTAAATATTGAATATGCTCAGAATGGCGTATTACACTATTTTTTTTGCCGTAAGTACAGTATAGTGATATCAAGTGCAAGTGATATCAAATGCAATTTCTAATATCATTGTAGTTTATTATTTGATTGGATTGCCAATTGGATTGACTTTTTACTCAGTACTGGATTAACCCTATAAAGCCTACTGTATCATTTTTTTTAAAGCCTCTACACTATCAACATGATCAAAACGTTGCTGAAAAATTGTTGTACACATTCTACTACATGTCATCTTACTGATAATTTATTATTTTTTAGCACATTAAAAGCATTTTAGTATAATTCTAAAAACATCCACCTTCAGCTCATGGTTCACGTGTGTATTTGCTGTGAAATCTTGATGATTCTATAAAGTAAACATTAGAATAACCTTTATATTGTTAGTAACACTACTGGACTGAAGCAAGGTTTACCTGATTATAAAAACTATTATTATTTTTTTTTTTTTAGAAAAATCATGTAAAAATGCATCACATGATGATACATCAGGCTTTTGAGAAAAAATGTATCTCAATTGTCATTGTATTGCACTATTATATGTTTTACCCCCAATAAAAACTACAGAGCTTTGATCATAAAACTAAGTATTTACTAAGACATATATTATTGGCAAATATAAAGTGAAAACTAATATTTATATGTATTTTATGTCAGCAGTCTGCTATTCTGTTAAAAAAACATCTCATTGATTTACATTACAAGCTATCAGAATTTAATCTCACTGTTTAGACGTAAAAATGACAACATCTGCACCAAACAGCATATTTTTGCTCAGTTTGAGCCAAGTCTGATCTCCATACTCTCACTACATGAGCCATAAAAGCCTGATGTACAAAATGATAGTTTCTCACTTGCATTTGCAGGTAGTGTGCAGTGCATACTTCACCGTATGCTATATTTCATTCTGAACACAGTCATCATTACAGTAATGACTAGTGTCCAGCTGAAGTCAGTGCTTGTGTGATCGGAGCAGCTTTACGGCTGTACCTTGTTAGAGCGTAGTGAAACTCTTCCTCCACAGCGAGCGCAGAACTTGCTTTGGCAATACGAACAGAGGTGGCCACAGCCGTCGGCAAACTTGGTTTTATGGCAGATTCCGCAGGTGGGGGAGTCACTCTTCTGCTCCTGGGTGCTCTGTGCCTCTTCCCCCATCTTACTCACCTGGTCCTTATACATTTCAAATTGCTGGTGCAATTTCCTGCAGGAAACAGAACGCAGCCAATCAGAACACAGCAAGAAAACACATTATAAGTATATAGGATGTGAATATAATAAAAATAGTAATATACTTGGAAAAATAGGAAGGATTTTGTCATTGGGTTACAACCAAAAGGACAATTTTATTGCTCAGAGCTTGCGCTTCATTGCTCATTAGACTCCATTCATTGTTTCATTCAAATATTAACTTCATTATCTTAAAAACCTTTTAAAAAATTAAAATAAATAAAAATACAAGACAATTGCTGACATACAGTAATAGTACAGAGCTATAAAATTAATATGAAGACTATGATCTCAGACATTTTTTGAAATAAATTAATACTTTTAATCAGTAAGAATTCATTATATTCATTAAAAGTGATATATTAAGTAAAACAAATATTAAGCAGCACAACTGTTTTCAACTTTGATAATAAATGTTTATTGAGCAGCAAATCAGCATATCTGAATGATTTCTGAAGGATCATGTGACACTGAAGACTGGAGTAAGGATGCTGAAAATTCAGTGAAATAAATGAAATTTTAAAGTATATTAAAATATTTATATTAAATACATTATTCAAGTTTTTAACTGTAGATTTTGATCAAATAAATGCAGCTTTGGTGAGAATAAGACAAATCAAAAACATTTTCAAAAAATCTTACTGAATGCAAACTTTTCAGCTGTAGTGTACATTACAATAAATTCAAAATTTGTTGAAAACGTTTAAAAACAAAGTACAAATGAATACAAATGTTAAATTTCTAAGAACTTGTCACATGCATTTTGAACTAGATTTTTAACAATCTTTGTCATTGACTTTGACAAATGTTTTTATATACGTTTCAATACGGTATATATATATATATATATATATATATATATATATATATATATATATATATATATATATAT